CATGAGAGCATCCAGAAAAGTAAAGAACTTATTCTCTTCCATTTCCATCGTGAACCTAATGTCTCTTTCACGCTGGTAGAGTGAAAGTAGGAAACTATCTAAATTGTCCTTACTATGAGGCCAGATGACGAAATAGTCATCCATGTATCTAATCGTAAATTTGGGGATTAGTATTGCCTCGTGCAGGAAATGATTCTCCAGTCTTGCCATATAATTGTTCGCTGAGACTGGAGACAGGCAAGATCCTATCGCAGTCCATGTGTTTGTTCCTATGACTTACCATCGACGACGATAATTATTTTCAATGAGAGTAGTTTGTGAGTAGTCGATTTTATTGGCAAAGCTAAATTTTCCTCATTGACACTACCATTAAAGGTGTACCTAAGGAGCCGCTTGGCTTGTTTTGTAGGCTAAATCTGGCTTACTGACTGTGAATCGGATTCCAATCCCTTCCAACAAACTTTTCTTCAAACTGAAAAGCAGAGTCGCAATATATCAGTAAGGGCTTCTTCGAAACCAAGTTTGTCTTAGCATCAAGATGAAATGAGTGTAGAAAAGTGAGTGGGAACTGCGTGTAGTTGTTGGACTAGATTAGGGATAAATGGGCATATAGATGAATATATAACTATATAAATAGATTTTCAGCATTTAAGTATTGTTTTGAGACTACCAGTAAATCAGTAATATGAGATGTATTTACCCAATTTCGTTTAAGGTGAAGAAGGACTGGTAGTAGAATTTTCCCACGATGATATGAGTAGAGCTGACGTTTCCATTCAATTTCGCATAGCCTTGCTTTTCCAAAAGTTGTTTTCATCTGGGGTGGACTGCAGTTGATAAGACCAATGCGAGGTCGAAACTGCAGTCCACCCCAGTCAGGAAGAGAACAACTTTTGGGAAAGCAAGGCTATGTGAAATTCCATGAAAACGTCAGCTCTACTCATATCATTGTGGGAAAATTCTTCTACCAGTCCTTCATTACCTTAAACGAAATATGGTAAATACATCTCATATATAAATAGAGAAAGAGACTGATAGCCGGAAGTAATTCAGAATAATAATAATAATAATAATAATAATAATAATAATAATAATAATAATAATAATAATAATAATAATAA